GTGTAATTGAAGGGGGAACCGGTCAAGGCGTTCAAAACATTGGCTCAAATCTGCTGGCCAGCTTTCTTAGATTTCAAGTAAAATACCTAGCCAACAATTCAACAGAATATCAAAAGTTGAAAAATACTTGAGGAAAATGGTATTTCTGATTTACATGTAGATATTGAATCAAATACCATCCCAGACCATAATGATTTATAGAAATGTATTTGTAGCACAAATTGAGGTTAATCAATCAAGCCCTGCATTTGTCAGTACATGGTGAATTTGTCTTGAATGTCTATTCTTCTATTTATGTTTTTTTAACATGAGGGATATATAGATGGGGTATTAAATATTTAAAGGTCTAAATTTTCAACAATTTTAATAACTGAATCAAAAATTGATGTTTAAAAAAAAAAAATCAGAAATTGCTGAAGCATAGCAATGATACTCTTGCCATATGAATTTATCTAAATGTAATGTTTATTTCAGAGCTATGTTGTATATCATGCTTGATAGAAAAATCAGATGGTATTTTAATGTATACTCTTTTTTTTTTATTACCAAGTTTTAAAAACATCATTTGACCACTCATTCATCAATTCTCATCGGTGGTGAATTAAAAAAAAAAATCAGTCATTAATACACACATGAATTGCCCCAAAATTGCCTTTTTAAGAGTTACTCTAACTTCCAAACTAACTGTATGTTGTATTCACCCTGTGTATACCATTGAATATTCTTGACATTTAAAGCCAGGGTAATAATCAGCCGCGCCAGGAGTGTCAAGTCAGACAGACATGAGCCCACTATTATTGTTATAAATGTAAGCTGCAAATGTGCTGCCATGCCTTATCAAAACCGACCAAGGATTTCATCATGAGAACAGTGTAGCCAAAAATTATTTGTGACACCCAGAAAAAATAAATCAAACTGAGATTTAAAAAAAAAAGATATCGACATATCATTTATTAACTGGCTGGAACATAATTGTTAAAGGTGTCCCCAGCAAATGAAACAGACTTAGTTTCATACTAGTTGGTCTAATATTTAGAGTTTTTCCAGTTTTGTGGTCACAAAAACATATAATTTTGACACATGGTGGTTTCTGGCGATTCAGCAAGTTCACAAGTCCTTGTTTAGTATGTGGTTGGTCCTCCCTTGGCTATTTTCACTGCATGTAGCCTCTGCGGCATGCTATCAACCATGTTGTAGCAGATCGCTGGGTCAAGACTCTCCCAGGTACGCTGACGCATGTCCTTCAGGCTCTGTTTCCTGCTGGGTGGTTCTGGGGGACGTGTCCGCTCTAACTCATCCCAACGATGCTCGATGTGGTTTATCTGGGGGCCACTTGAGGACATTCACCAATTTCTTCTGGAGAAAGGCCTGAACTTGCTTTGCAGACTGCTTCAGATCATTGTCTTTTTGGAAGATGAAATGGCGCCCAAGCTTTCCTTTTTTGTTTGTTTTTTGGTTTATATACTGAATTCTTACTATTGGACCTACTTATTATAACTGTTGTCTGCACTTCTACTGAGACAACCATGTTTTTAATTGCATATTTATCTAAAATACTTGCATAGAGCCATTATTCTTAAAGGTAATACAAAGTTTTGGGAAATTTAGAAAATTGGGTGGATAGTGATTCTTTACAATTTTGATATATTTGGATGCCCCTGAGGATGTATTATAAGCACCTCAAACACTTCTGCTTTCGAGAAAAATTGAATATAAAAAAAAAAAACGGTGCTCCTGGTAAATTTTGATAAATTTCAAATAGTGCCTAAGGCCGTAAAATGGTAGCTACAACCATGAAAATCTCAGAATATGTAGTTGTGATTTATAATTTCGAATCAAGAATAGCTAATCGGTCAAGAAACATCGTTTTATAGCCTAATTAATATCTTGACCTTGAGAGGGAGCTATACAACATAAAGAGTTAATTATTTACAATTTCATAACTTTAGACTCGATTTCAACGCGACAACGATCACTGAATATTAGGATCGCATATGCTTCCAATATGTTCATTTGAACAAAACTCGTGACCCTGTACCAAAACTTTTGTATTACCTTTAACAATATGTATAAAATATAATACAACAACTTGTCAAATACACTATGTAAATAGAAATAATTTTCATGTTTTATTGACAAGGCTATCGTGTTAATTGATTTGATTTGATTTATTGGTTTCTGCATCTTTTTTCTTTTTTTCATCATACATTTTCATGAACATAATATGGCTTGATACAATATTTCAAGTGTATATAATTTTATACAGATAATAAACGATATTAAACAAATATATTGAATTTAAACGTATACATTGAATGCATAATTAACATACATTAGATGCAGGGGGGCTACAGAAATAAGCAAAGTAGCTTGACATGCCGGCAGCCCTCAACTTAGATACAACAATACAAAATAAAAATAAAAAAGAGTGACTTGCAGAAAAGTTATCTTCATATCTACACTGGTCAGAAACAGTTTCCTTACTGAATTTTTAATTTTTTGCTGATTTTATTACTGGTTTTATAAACGTATCAACACTCTTTTATTACCATCAACCATACCCTCTTCAACCCTCTTCTTTTTCCCCTTTTTTAAAACTTTTTTTTTCCTCCTTTTTCTTCTCTTTCTTCTCCTTTCTATTCATTTATTGTATCAATCCCATTACTAAATATCTTAATTTCATATTCGCCTATTTTACAAAGGACTATTTGGATTTATTTTATATGTTGCAGTTTTATTTGTATATTTAAGATTTATCAGCTTTTAGCTGTGACTATGATATTTTGTCAATAAATCTTGTAGATTCAATTCAATTCAATTCATTTCTTGTGGCAGATGGGATCATCTGAGTGCACAGGATCTCCTGGTACATCTTGGCAATCATCGTCCCTTCAATAAAATGTAGGGTGCCCTCACCGGCAGCTGTGGTGCACCCCTATCCCATTATACTGCCACCCCCTTGGCCTTGCTTCACAGTTGGGTCCAGACATTGAGGGTTGCTTTCTTCTGCAGAATGTCGCCAAATTCTTTGGGGACCATCGGAGCCAAACATGTTGTTTTGGGACTCGTCGAACCATGAGGCGAATTCACAGAAATGCATAGACTTGCCAACATGTTTTTTTGCAAAGTTCAAACGTTTTTGTCTGTTTTTGTGTGTGCTGATATATGATTTCTAGCGCATGACTCTATCATGCATCCCACGTTCTTTCAACCTGTTCAAGTCTTGGTTGTGTGCATGCAGACCCGAAAACCAGTAGCCTCCTCCGCCTGCTTTAAAAGATCCTCTAGAGACAACTTCCTGGACTTCATTACCAATCCCTTGATGTAATTGTCTATCGTTGAACTGGGCGTCCCTTTTCTTCCATAATTGCCCACCAGATTCTTGATTCCCCCCTTTTTTTCTTGAATTACTAGATGGTATACTGCACGGTAGAGAATTTCATTTCCAATCTGGTTGCAATCTCACAGACAGAAAGTTGCTCCTCGTGAAACTCAAATACACTCTCACGCAATGTATGGGACATTTCTGTAGTTTAGCCATGTTTGCATGCTGAATAGACATACAAATGTGTTATACACCATAATGTTACAGTACATGGCTTTTAGTAAGGTACCCAATCCCATGCAAATGCTTATGAATATCAGAGAGAATAGCTTTTGTCTGGCATTAATACCTTTCATTCTCATCTTTTGCCCTAAAGCAGCAGGACTTTTGTGTATTGATGCATGCCAAGGAATGTCCGGGATAATTCTGCGATAGTGTTCAATACAGAAGAATATAGATTAGAATATGTCTGGAATATGTTCCCAAAGACCAGGTGTTCAAAAAATATTCTGCGACCCTAAAAGTCCTCTTTCAATGATAATTTCATAATGTTGGTACATAATATATAATCCCATTTTTCACTTTGCCGCATGAAATTCACTCTAATAATATTCAACCACTGCTACACAATCCCTGCTCAGAAGACATCACTCCGGAATTTTCGGCTACACTGTATAATATGAAGTGTTCAAATAACACTTAATTAAGAGAAATCAATCCAGTACAAGTCTTTGGTATCACTTTTGAAATGTGCAAACATTACTCTGACGAACAACACGATCCAAATATATGATTTCTGTGGGATAGCCAATTAAAGCTATCAAAATTGCCTTTAAATTGCATTCATGAAAATCTTTGCCTTCATGATTAGCAATTTCTGAATGTATTTTAACAGGTATTCTATCTGATTTATATGCATGTGAACAGTCTTTTTAAGTGTACTTCTTAGGGCAGTGTGGTTTTGCTCTATTTCTTCCTCCTATCAAAGGGTAAATCGACTGTTGTAACAAATTGTGAATTGTACCATCTGATATTTTTATAAATGACATCATTCATGTGTGCCCCAGATTTGTATCTTTAATTGACTCACAGTAACTTGCTTTAATGGTTGACTTGCCACTGGTCTATTATAATTATTGACATAGATCTATAAGTACACATAGTTGTGAGAAATGTCTTTTTGGTGTTAAATTATTATATATTCATTTATAATTTATATAGGTGTACAAATTTAGAATGACAAGGCTGTCATAAACAAATATATGTATATGCATTCATATAATGAAATTATTGACATAGATCTAGATAAAACAACATTTTAAATGCAAATGTGTGACATACGGTGGTGAACCTTTCTGAATATATGCCTAGCATGACACAGAGAGAGAGGGATAAATTCCGTGACCAGACACTTTCTCCTGCGGCAATCGCTCCGGATGTTATGTTGTCGAAGGTTCAGGTTTACAGTTGGAATTAGGTTGGGGTTAAGGTTTAGAATAGTGTTGTGTCGTGGTCGATGATATGAATAAGGTTAGAGTAGGAAATTGATTCAAGCATTTGTTGAATGAGCAAATAAACACATATTCACATAGGAAGGACTGCAGTGTGCTGGTAAATGTAGGATATGTGTATTTGGATTATTTTGATTATTGTAGTTTTTATACATCACTTCATTTAGATTTCTCATTGATATACGAGTTATGTTTATTTTTATATTATATTAATTAACTAATGATGTTTCCTTTTAAATCTTATCCAAAGGGATGGTAATACCCGAGACACCCACTAAACAGCTGTTCAAAACAATTGGATACTAAATGGAGCCCTATTATTTTGTCATTAATTTTGTTTGCTGTTTTCAGTTTACTTATAATCACTACTTAAGAAGTGACTTAAAATAATTATGTACCGGTAGATATTATCTGTTCCTAATCCTAAGGACTGTTCAGTGGTCTACAAGTTGAATTGAGCGCACTTTATACTGCTTTAAAGGTACTATGTCCCATTTGCAGGCCCAAAAAATTAAAAAGTTAAATTCCAACTGCATTTGAAAGATAATACTAATTTAGAACTTCCCTAAAAAAGGTGGGGCTTGAAAATGTCTTCAAGTGGGAAAATAATGACTATTAGTTGTCAAATCGACTTTAGGGCTATAGAGCCCAAAAGTAATAGTCTTGATTTTCAGACAATTGTACCGAATGGTCATACGTTTTATGCTGCGCAAAGATTCAATCAGTTTAATCTTGGCCATGACAAGAAGTGGGTTATTGATGTAGACAAATGCTCATGTACCCTTTACAACTCTTTTCATGTATGTTATTACCAAAGAAGAAAAAAAGCCAGTCAGTCACTCAATAGTGTCTGACAGTGAAGTCTAGCAAGTAAACGGATTTCCTTGCATAATTTGAATATGAGGACACTGCTAACGTTGAAATTTCACAGCTAGGACATAAATGACATATTCATAATTCCTGCAAACTGAGTTCTACAGAATTTGAGGTTGGCTGCAAAAGGGACATAGTACTTTTAAGTAAATGACTTATTGGTAAGGACAATTTTTACATGAAATGTATGAATGTTTCTGCACCTTCTAAATGTTTATTATTATTATTATCATTGTTATTGTTATTATTGGTATTGTATGCTTCCATTTTGGTTTTGGTTCACTGTAAAATTACTCTATAGCGGGGACATCGTTTTTTACTGCGCGCAGTCGAAGTTCCATTTAGTTGTGGATGGTTTGTGTGCGCCTATAGGCCACATTTCTCGAGGTATTTCGTTCAAATTTAGATGTCCATTGGTATTATCAACAAGCCTATAGATTTTGCTGATGCTGCGCCCAGTGCTCCGTCTTTTATAGGGTCAAATGTCATATTTTGATAGATATCTTGTGTGCACTCTAGTGTGCGGTCTAACTGCATCATGACAGATTTCTTTCAAATTGAGTATGGAAGTGTATGTTGGTAAAATCTATGCACCTTTAGTTTTTGGTGATGCTGCCACCAGTGTTCTGTGTTTTATAGGATCAAAAGGTTATATTTTGGTGGGTGTCTAGTGTGCGCTCTTTTGACGTATATCTTTCAAATTTTGCATAGAGAGTATTTTGGTACAATCTACACATCTCTCCATTTTGGTGATGCTGCCCTCATTTTTTCAATTTTTATAAGGTCTACAGTCATTTGTCCCTTTTGTGCGCTGTAACTGCCACATTTTTGAATGAATTCTTTCAAATTTTGTAAGGAGGTGTATCTTGATCGAATCTACATATCTTTCGTGTTTGGTGATGCTGCCACCAGTGTTCGTCTATTATAGGGTCAAAGGTCATATTTTGGTGGGTCTTTAGTGTGCGCTCTGCAGAACACATTTCATACCGGAATTCTTTCAAATTTTAAATTGGGATGTAATTTGGTACAATCTACATATCTACACGATGCTGCCCTCATTGTTGCGTCTTTTATATGGTCAAAGGTCATAAGTCTTTTATGCGCTCTAACAGCCACATTTCTTGACAGATTACTTTCAAATGTTGTTTCGAGGTGTGTCTTAGTACAATCTAAACATATTTAGTGTTTGGTTATGCTGCCACCTGTTTTCCGTCTGTTATAGTGCCAAGGGTCATATTTTGGTGGCTGTCTTTTGTGCGCTCTAACTGCCACATCTCTTGACCGGATTTCTTTCAAATTTTCTACAGAGGTGTATTATACTATAATCTATAAACTACAAACTACAAAGTTTTGGTAATGCTGCTCTTAGTCTTGACAATAGTGGCGATCTCTACATCATCCTTTGTTTCAGGGAGGGGAGAGGGGATGTTTGTCCCTCCTTCGAACATAAACATGACACAAAATCGCTGCCGCTGCCGGGGGATACATTCGCATTGCGCGGCAATACAGATTGCGATATTCCTAGTTATTCTTATTCTTATTCTTAATTATTCTCAATATCATTATTATCAGTTTTATATTTTCTACATTCGTTAGCCTGTTCTTGTATGTATAAATTAACTAGGTAGAGTCATCGTGATTATCTACAAATTTCATTTATCAACCATTAATATCCACCCTTTGAATATTTCGTCACGTCTAACAAAATACCCGTTGCACACGAGGCGGCATGCTGGATGCGCTCTGACGTAGGCTAATCAAACCAACAGACCAATAGGTTCATGCGCTAGTGACCCAACTCATTGTTAGCTCTGTTCATTTTGATAGTTTTTTCTACGACGGCGCTCCACATGGTGAGTCAAAGACCATGCTAGTCGATAACGCAGTCCTACGTCACATAAATGACGCTTCGTGTGCAACGGAAAGAATGATTCCCCAAATTCTTTATGGACTTAGCATGGTGTCCATCGAGTTTACAACCGATCAAACCATACGTTATCTGTTCGTAGCTGTGAGATAGAAAGCAGTATGAACACCCTAATGTTGTTATGTCTACATGTACTTCTGTTTTTTAAATTTATTATTTCAAAAATTTAATATAGGATTGATTTGTACAAATTTGATCAGGCATTTCGTCTTTAGGCCGTTATCGGAGACTGGGATTCAATGTGATTCTATGTCTTTTATTAATGTTATAAGAAATTTTTGTGCAATGCACAATGTATCTTAAAAAAGTCTTTTTAGTATTAACCGTTTTGCTGTGAATATGAAAGTGAAGGATTTTTCTAAAAAACCCTCTATATGTATGTTAACTTGCTTGTAAAAAGCGGCGGAAAGCTCTATATGCTCATTGCGTTGACTGTTACGAAAACATTAGGAAATGTTGTTCTTGTTTTAGCTTATACCCAAAAAATATTATCCCTCATTTTCTCCATTGTAATCTTTTCGTAAAACGCAAAACTTATTCTCCCATGCTTTTTTTTTTGGTCGTCTCTTTCTCTTTATATACCTGTTGTTAGTGCCCCAAATGTCATTACTGTCGACCTTTATTGCCTGCCACCCTTTTTGTAAACGACTGAAATCTTTTTGTTTTGTAAAACCTACATATGTTTTTAATAAAAACTTGTTTTGTTGCTATTTTTCATAACTTTGTATGTGGTTGCTTGTTTGTTGGATCAAGACACGTCCGTATCTTGCCAAGTCGTGAGAGAGACCAAAAGAGAAAGGGAGAGAGAGAGAGAGAGAGGGGGGGGGGGGGGGGTTCAGAGAGACTGACCGAGAGAGAAAAAGAGAGAGAGAAAGGGAAGCCTTTGGAAAGCATACGTCAAATTTAAATTTTACAATATCTGGATAACTAATTGATGAGCAGCGAGGGACCGAGTGTCTATTCAAAATGTATGACAGTACATGGTCCGTATTCTACTTATAAACCGGTTTATTAACATAGGCCTATTCAAATTTGTGGATGTCTCTTTTCTGGGGACTTGGTTACGAGGTATTCCATTAACATATTAAACTATTTATAATCCAGGCTGCATACATTACTTATTGCTATTTCGAGCAAGCGTTCTACTTGTCAAGAACAATTAACCTTTCTTAAAACAATATACATTAATCACGGTAGAGGTTTACGGTACACCATGTGTAAAGTCCTAGAGGGACTAAGGAAAGTGGATAGAAAATAGAAGTGAAAATAGAAAGGCGAGAAAGTGGAGGTTGGAAGGATCGAAGAGTATCTTTCAGAAGTGAGTATAGTCCTGAAAAAAAGTCGACACCCGACTCAAAGAACACAAGACCCACCACCGACGCAGCGACTGGGACAAGTCAGCCATCGTCAAGCACGCACAACAAGAGCTCCACCGCATTCACTGGGATAAAAGTCACCTCATCACCACCATCCGACATTGCACACACGAATTAGGGTCCGAGAAGCCATCGAGATCCACCAACACAACACCGTACCCCAAGACCCAGGCCTTCACATCAACAGCATCTGGCACCCAATCCTTCCTCACCATTCTACTTCCGACCAATCTTCAACCAACTCCACAACCAGCACGCCAACCACCAACACGTCACCTATCCATCCATCCGTCAGCCCAAACACCACCTGCAACCACCCAACCACTCCTACTCAAACAAGCACTACACGTTCTCAACTAGCCACTTCACCCACACAAGCACCGACCACGCCCACACCTCGCTACAACCTACGCCGACGAAACCGCCGACCAACACACACAGAGCGACACCACTAATAGCTGTCCTCACCGCCGATCGATACACCCACTCATCAGCCGACACACCGCCCGCTACTCCGCCGACACCAACCACACGACGTCCGCATAACCGCCGCCCACTCGTTTCCCGCCAATTCACGCAACCGAGCGCCACCACCGACAGCTACCTGCCAACCCGCCGAGCCCGCCGGCCCAGTGCTTTCCCCCAAGTCCGCACTCACGCCATTATAAGGACCGCCGCACGCATATATAGCGAACACTCACTCCTGAAGAGAAAAAAAAAAAAAGAGAAAGAAAGAAATTAATATTAAAAAGAAAGGCGTTGGTGATAATAGTCAGGTCTTGACTGATTGCCATTACAACAAAAAACAACAACAACGAAGACGGACAGTCAACCTGTCCGAAACGTCGAGTCTACTCTCCTGCTCCTGCTCTGCAACTCTACTCAACTCTCCAACTCAATCCAGTCTTCTACTCAAACCTCTCATCCTATCTACAACTTTCTGGTTTACAGTCCTTTTCAGGACTATACTCACTTCTGAAAGATACTCTTCCTTCCAACCTCCACTTTCTCGCCTTTCTATTTTCACTTCTATTTGCAATGACGACCTTCGTCATTGCCTTGTTTTCGTTCACATTCTGCCCCATTAATATTCTCCTTTTCCTCCTTTTCCTTTTCCTTATCCTTATCCTTATCGTCAGGAAATCGCATTCGTTTTGCACGTAATGTTTGTTATTCCTAGTTAGGTGCTTTTCTCATGTCCTTTTCCTTTCACATTTCATAGGCATAGTCTCTAACATCCCTTCAAGGTCACTACATTCTTCGATTTTCGAAATCACTCATGCATAACCGTCCAGGCGCCATTTTGTCCGTTTCTGGTCCATTTTAAGGCCTTTCTTTCTTCCTTCCTATCTCCACTATCCTAGATCCTACACATTTGTAACAAATTCCTCTAGATAGTCTAAGAGATGTTCTTTTATCTGCGACGTATAACCTGCCCTTCAAAATGCCATCTTCATACTCAAAATTCAAATCTGAAACCGACTCCGTCAACTATCTCTCAAATTCTTGAAAAATTGACACCTAAATAATCTAAAACTGCCATAACTTTCTCATATAAATTCCGTTTTGTATTTAAATCTCACAGTATCCTTATCTCATAATTGCACATAGCCATGCCAAATTTCACGCTCCAATGACTTTGCACAACATAAATAGCGCCCTCTAAAGTTCTGGGAATTGGCTTTCTCTCTGTGGCCGTATCTCCATAATGGCTTGGCAAACCCGTACCCTTTTTTGGATTTAGATACTTGAAGATATGCCCTTTCCAGCCATATACAAAATTATATACCCTATCACTGACCAAATTTGAGAAAATTGCCCTCCAAATTCGCCATTTTCAAGAAAATTCCAAAATAACTTCAACTTGCTCTAAAATTACGATCCTTTGACCTACGTCAATAAAACTTGGCACACACATGTATTTATATACGTGACAACTGTCCGCAAAGTTTGGTAAAATTTGATTATGTCAGCGCAAAGT